AGTTTCGTCACGAAACTCATGGCCTGATGCTCTTGTAATCGTTTACAAAAAACGGCCGCCGCCAACTCGATAGCCGCTTCATTATATGTCCACATACTTTGAGCACAAGAAAAATCCAAGAGCCAGCAGCCTCTAAAATAACTCAATAGAAAGGTTCTGTGAACTATAGGGAAGATTCCATCAAAGATTCCATCACACACATTGTGGAGTAGACGTCATTAACTGTGCCATTACAACGGCCGCTGATAAGAGGACACAGTAAATCCACGTAAAAACATTCCACAGGCAAACAATTTCAAAATAACGCCAAATAATTATTCTGTAATCACCATAGAACGATTCTTAATACAAAACTTCGCTAACTATCGAACGATGGCTGAGATTTAGACAGATAAAAACAGCCTTCCAAAATCTCCGACAGAACTTGAAAAAGTCGGGCCGACTTTTTCAAGTTTGTTTTCATTGGCTCGCGCATGCGTGTGGGATGACATAGCCCCTTTAAGACTGAGTTCGGATATCGCATACTTGCTATCCCACGTGACCTCCTTATTCCTGCAAATGCTACGGTAGAATCTCAATCAAACCACGACTTACAGGTAAGTCTCGTTGAATTAACAATTCGTTCGCCTCCGGCGAGAGTTTCTTGAAATTTCTCCATCTGTAAACGGGAGATGCAATCGGCACGACTATTCTGTAAGCCTGGGACGTGGCTAGCTCGAAAAAAGAGGTTATACTTTAAGCAGCTAAGTACGAGGTCGCGTATAAGAATCATGACCTGTTTATGTTTGGACGTTTGTTTGTGTATGATATCAACAAGGGCCGCATTGTCAGTGAAAAATAAGACGCAACTGTTTGCCATGGTGGCCCCCCAAATATGGACCGCGAGAGTAATAGGAAAAAGCTCTAGAAAACTTACATTAAGGATGTGCCATACTATAGGAAAAGGACCATAAAACCAATGCTTTCCAAATATCGCACCGTACCCCTTTGATGCCGCGGCATCTGTATATAATTCGAGAGTCGATGAAGTAGCCCATCGCTCTGATAGAAAAAACGCTCGGCCGTTAAAATCATCTAAAAACTGTAACCACATTCGGATGTCATTTTTAGCTTCGGTGTTGAAACGGATGTGATGGTGGGGGCGTGTGACGCCTGCGGTAAGATCGATTAGTCGACGCAAAAAGGCGCGTCCTGGAGTGACCACGGAACAACAGAAGTTTAATAGGCCAATTAAAGACTGTAGTTCGCGCAATGTGACTGATCTTTTCCGCGCAAATTGGTGGAGCAGGGCGCGACATATGTGAATCTTTTCTGAAGGTAACCTGGCCTCTTGCCTTACAGAATCTAATTCAATTCCCGCAAACTGAAGAGTGGTGAGGGGACCTAACATTTTCTCATGTGCAATAGGCACACCGAGGAAGTCACACATGCTCAAAAAGTTAGAAAGATCGGCTTTGCATTTGTCATGACTATGCGCGATAAATAAAAAGTCGTCTAAGATATGCAAGAACGCAGACAACTTCAAGTGGTGGACTGCTAGCCACCCTAAGGAAGTACTAAATTTTTCAAAAATAGCACAACTCGATTTTAACCCCATAGCTAAACACCTGTCAAAATAATACTGATTGTCCCATTTTATGCCGAGTCAAGAGGACTCACTGGGATGATCCTGAAATATCTGTTTTTGCTAAGTAAGAACCCGGCCCCAGCCGTTGAAGAATTTTAACGGCGTCATTAATCGTGGCATATTGTACGTAAGAGCAGTCATCCGGAATGCTATCGTTAATAGATAAGCCTTTGGGATATGACAGATGGTGGTATTAGCCTAAACTCATTTGGGACCTTTTTGGGAACTATGCCAACGGGCGATGTACGAAAAACAGGAAAGGGTGCGGTGTCAAAAGGTCCCACAATTCTTTCAGCATCAAGTTCTCTAGATAGTTTCGAAAATAGAATGTCCGGATTTTGCAGAGCACTTTTTAAATTGGGGGCCTCAAATGAGGTAATTTCTCCTGTGAAATTAATTCGAAAACCGAAACGGAAACCGTTGATTAAATATTGTTTTAGGGTTTGGTCGTAGCCCGCAAGGAGCTGTTCAAACCGGTCCACTCTTACGGCAGTTACTATGGAATTGCCCCGAAGGCTGAGCTGAAATTGATGCTCCGGGCTTAATGGGATTTGTTCGCAGTTGGGAGTTTTGGTTTTGGCACTGAGTGGCGGGATGTTTCGCACCACACTTGAAGCACACGTGCTCGTATTGGCAACCTCGGCAGTGCCTCCCTGAATGAAATGACCAACAGGTTCCCCTAGGAAAGGGGGGAGTGGAGGTTCGAAATGGCCCCCGCGGGGTTGTTTTATCACTACCGGTGAAAGATTGTGATTTGGCCCGAAAATTAGTCATGGCACGTAGCCATAGCTCCCAATGAATTTGATCCCACGGGTAAAGTTCAGGGGACGATTGTCGCAAATAACGAAACTGCTCATCATAGAAAATCCAGTCCCCAGACTTATTAGCAAGGTCACGCACCACTTCTCAATATTTCATTAGCTTAGGGGCATCCTGGGAACATTTTACGGAATAAATGGATACAAAAGTGTTGAAAGCGGTGAGCCACTGGCTGATATTAGTGACCTTTTTCGGTGTATGATAAGGCTCGAGAGTTAACTGTGGTTGATTTACAGCACCCCCACTGGAAACCATGGAAAGAGCAAACTTTTCTCGAGGGGGTGCGACAGAGAGCAGTGCGCCAAAGTCAATATATTCATTTGCCCAGATGTTCGCTTTGATTTTAGCGCTCACACGAGAACCTAGATTAACAGCTATGCTAGAGAAGGAGTGGCTAGGCTGATCGCCCACACCAAGCAATGCTGGTAGGGGTGCCTGTTCAATTGTACCTGTTGTATATGAGAGGACTTCGTTTTGTACAACCTGCTCTACTGCGGATGACGGCTTTAGCGTTGGCGTTGGCGTTGGCGTTGGCGTTACCGTACTGGAGACGGGGGCTTGATGCGCGGCCATTGCCTCCTTTACGACCTGTGCGACGGCCACGGAAATGGTACTTGTTAGAGCCCCCACGTCCAGCTGCATCGCTCCTTGTCCTCCTTGTATTTCTCCTCCTTGTCCAGTTTGCTGCTGAGGCAACGGAGGATTCGCCACAACCGATGAAGGTCCGGCCTCAGAGAGGTCTGTTCGTAGCCGTTTCGAGCGCCTGGCTTGTGTGGCGGTGTTACGCTTCGCAGGAGGCATTTTTCTATGATAAAAAACTAACTATAAGTGATAGATGTGATAGGCAGTGAAACAAGTGTTAGAACTAAGTTTTAATGTCAAATAAATTAGAAAAAGGGGGTCATCAGAGGAGCCGATCCAAAGCAGGTATTTGATTTTACATAATGACTCGAGTGCAAAAATTGACACGAAAAAATTGTGAGGCTTATACCTCATAAGAAGTAACGAAAAAAGATACCCATTTCCACAACACAATAACATTAGTGCATTGACAGTATACCGAGTGCATTGGACACATCCACATATGCAGGCGGTCAAAATGGATTGTACACTCATAACATGGTAACTGCAAGCAAACAAACGTACATACCAAAGCCGGTAATAGGAAGGCACAAAGTGCACTTCTAAGGTTTCAGAAACCACAAAATTTGGCCATAAGTGGTCAGCAAAATACGGCAAATAATTGCCGGAAATCAAACAGAACAACAAGCTAAACCACAAGGCGATAACACACGCGGCTTGGTTTGAAATAAAAACCAGATAAGTATATAGGAAATGGGCAAGTGAAAATGGTTACGAAAACTAGTTGGGCTGCTCACCAGAACGTGCCAAGGAATGCAAAGACTTTAAAACGGCCCCGCTGAGACTTCGGTAATACTTATACTGCCCAAACTTATTAAGGTGAACACCATCACGAGCAAAATATCTCTGCGAAGTATTCCAAAAACCTCTGTGACCCCCAAAAAAGCAATAGAGAACTAGCTCTAGAAGGACCTTCAGCTATTTTGTGA